GCGTTGAAGCGCCTCCGGAAGGGCTCGCCAGTCTATCCGGATATCGAAGTGCCACGCATGGCATGACAAGGTGTACAACACGAGAGGACATGTGCATAGTAGCAGACAATTTGACAATATTACACATGCGATAGTATTGCATGCGTTGTCGCTGCACTTCTACTCATTAGGATGTGGTACGTCCAGAGAGCCACACCCCCTTCATAGAGGAGAACCGTACCAAGGACATGTCCATGGCTGCAGGAACAACATCCAAGGCGGGCTGTACATGCCACGAAAACGATGGCTAGCCTGGGATTCGAACCGTTGGTCATGAACAGATCTTCCTGAGCAGACAGAAAATGATGCTGGGAGATGTTGGATAGCGTTTTCAACGGTGCGATTTTTTTTCTGGCTCCTTCTTTACTAGTACACTCTCGACCACCCCGTGTACCTTGGTTATCGAATGGAGTACGCGGCGTGATTCAGCAGCATGAGCGCGGTAGTATTATTTCTGTTGGCGTTCTGGATTGAATTCCAGTGTTTCCAAATCCAGTTTCACCAAATGCGTTACCGCCTTTCTTGATTCTACGTTGGATTGGTCGATTATGTATTTTGAATGTCACCAATCATTCGTAAGCAAAGTCACCGGACCTTTTGGCCAATCTCGTGCGAGTTGCGCTGAACTTGGAATCGAACAGGCCGATGGACGTGGACCTGCGGCAGAAGTTTGAGTTTCTCTGCCAGATCAATGAGCTCGAGGCCGCGATGGGTACATGCGCCGCAGGTTGACGCTCTATATGCATGCTGTGTCTAGCGCTCCTCCATACGCTCAATGCCATGGGCATCGAGCTCCAGCCCTCGGACCGCGAGCATCTTCGGTTCGTCTTTGCCGTGCTCCGCGACAGAGTCCGCAAGGTCTCGGACCGCGTCGACGACCTGCCGAGCCAGCACGACGAGACGCTCGAGATGTATGACCGCGTGGTACGCCGGCCATACAGTTCGCCATGGCCTTACCTCGCGTCGCGCTAGATGGAGGACGTCACGCCGTTTGGCTCGCTCCAGCATGAGCACCGCCTTCACATTACGATCCAAGTGCGTAGCTGAGCGAAGGTATTCTGACGTGACTCTTTGCCTAGTACATTGTAGCGCCGATGCACTGGCATGTCGCGGCCGATTCGACGGCCCGCTTCGTCATGCCTCTCGACTACCGAACGCTCCTCTCGCCGTACATGGAGCCCTCAGTGTACGTCCTGCTCCTCCTTTGATGGACAGTGCGTCTTTGACGCAGGCTCACTGTGTAGGCCCGACGCTGTGCGCCAGCACGCCGCGTGCTTTCGCAAGGCTGTCGGACGCGTCCTCAAGGCGACGGGGCCAGCGCTGGTCGAGGTAAGTCTCTCTTCTCGGGAGGAACCACTTGAGACTTTGTTCATAGCTCAAGGATCTCTGCATCAAGTACCCGGTCCTGTCGTTCCAGCGCAACACGATCCGGTTCTTGAACCGCGCCGAGGACCACTTGCTCGGCGGCGACGCGATCGACGACACGCTCAACGACACCAATGGCCGGTACGCGTTCGAAGCCACTGAACGTTCATATTGCACGCCTTATTAGCACGTGCTTGGCACCTGTCGAGCTCTTTATGTTGCCCGACACGCGCTATTCCAACAACTGGATGGCGCTCGACGAAAGCATGAACAGCCTCCCTGGTGCAATGCTTTACGTAACTCCTGCGGCGGAGGCGCCGCCCGTTAAACCGGAGCCTCGGGAGATCTAACGCCCGTGAACGCGAGACATGCTTTTTGACTGCGCTATCTCCCCTCGCATCGAACCGCTGCACGCTCGTGGCATTCCTTTTCCACCGGATACAGAGGGGCTCGAGGTTGATCTCTTCTTTGAGCGTGGACCATCGTCGCAGCTTGTGGATGGCATTCCAGTTGGACCGTTGGCGTCAATCGGGCCTTCTTGCAGCATGTTCCTCTATGCATCGAGACGACATCACGGAGCTCCGAACGATCGCCAAATCCAGTCGACACAGCCGCTATGTAGTAGGTCGTCTGGTTACTCTAGTAGTTATTAGTAGTTAGTCGAGTGGTCTCTGCAGCGACTAGACTTTAAACGAGGAACGCGCCCATCGTTGGGTGCGCTCGCTTGCGCGCGATAAAGACATTCATGGGGCGGCCGTGGTCCGTGTCGAGCACAACCTTGTCGACGAGGATCTCAAAGCAGTCTTCAAACCGACTGCGAAGCTCGCCCAGCTTGAGAATGTCCGAGATCTGGCTCGGGTGCGCCCAGCGCCACGGACTCCCATCGGGCGGCGCGCAAAAATGCATCCAGCCGACGACGCCGCCCACCGGAACTAAAGCGCGGATCACCGCAAAGAGTCGTCGGTTCAAGAAGCGGCAGCCATAAACACACTGGATCGGTCCCCATGCGTGCTGTGAGAAAGGCCCGACGCGGTTGAGGTCCATCTTGAGAAAGTCCACGACCTTGTCAACGCCACGACGGGATGCGAACGCGAGGCCCTTCTTGCGGCCGCTGCGGTTGTCGTTGACGCCGATGAACCGGTTAGAGAGGTCCGGTTGCGGTGCAACCGCGAGGACTTCTTCAGCGAAATACACAATGTCGCGGCCCGACCCACACGCGAGGTCGATCACAGCGGCTGTCGGGTCGGCCTTCAAACCAACGACGACCGGCACGAGCTCGAAGAGGAGGGCGTTGGGCGACCAGAGCCGCGGTTGCGGGAAGAGTGGCGTCTGCGCACCGACGAGGGCAAGGGCGTTGGCTTCGGCTGCAATGTCGTCCGAGTCGACAATGTAGAAAGCGAGGCGACGCCACGGCAACTGCTGGACTCGAATCGTCTCGGAGAGGAACCAGTCGACTTGGACCTGCGCCTTTGACCTGTCGCGCGGGCAGAGGAGGCCAAAGGCAGCTTGCCGCGCCGGGTACTCTACGGCAGTGACGGGATCGAATCCAACAAAAGCTGGAGAGCGCACGCACCGTGGCAGCGCGCTTTCTGAGCCGACCATGGAATCGGCACCTAAGTGCAATTTGAGTTGCGAGTGAGAAACAACACCAAGAGCCTACCGCGCGGTCACAAGTAAGCACGTAGCGCTGCTCGGCCTCTTCGCGCAGGTCCAGGAGGCAGAGTCCGGACGTGCGCCAGTACGCGAGCGATGGGGCCTCGATGACCATCTCCGAAGTCACGTTTCGCTTTTGGCGCGGGAGTCCATCACACCATTTCAACATTGTAATCGAAAATACGTGATATAGTGCTATTTGATGTGTGCATCGTATTAGCGTTGTCGAATACGGAGCGAAGAATGTGCTTGTTGAGGACTGCCTGTGTGTACCGTATCTCTATTGGCTATGTATGCATTGTGATAAGACCTCCTTTCTTCGCATGTCGTCGCAAGGTGGCGTCGAAATGTGCATTCAATGAGAATAGTGTTATCACCTGGCAGAACTATGCGTATGCAATAGTGTTCTTGAAAATAGTGTGTGTGCAACCGATTTGCGATCTCCGGATATTCTTCACCAACAACCGGATGATCTTGCGCATTCGCAATCTTGCGCTCGTGTGTCACGATGGCCCGCTGCAAGGTACGGTTGCCGCCGACGTCGAGGCGGGCATGGCAGTCGAATCGAGTAGACGCGTCTTGCATGCAAGAGCTTGGACGAGCTCATGGAGCCGCTCCACCTCGCCCAATGCGCCAAGTGCCATCGCCCGATCCACGTAGTACTACGTCCATCGTCCTCGTCGTCATCCATGCCCATGAGCCTGGCTGTAGAAGGCGCACATCGACCGGCACATGCAGCAATGCAACGTACGCCACCATGCGCCACCACGGGCGAGTGACATCCAAAGCGCTGCAACGCAGGTGTGCATGCCAGGCTCGAAACAGACCGCCAACGACACCTTCTAGCTTGCGTCGCCGCACGAACAAGATGCGAGCCCTTCGTTCGTGCCCAACAGCGGTATGTAGGCAACCCTTCGAGTTCGCCTCGTGCTTGCGTGTGTGCATGTTCATATGGGTGCTAGGCGAAACGTTTCCAGTGCTCTTGCCCATGCACGAGCTAAAGGCGCTGGCCTTTACGCCGCCATCGCGGCCCAACCTCCACACGACGCTGCAAGTCGAGGCGACGCGGCAGATCCTCTTTGGACAAACCACGGTCGCCAAGCGAAAGCTGCCAAAAGGCGAGAAACCACCGACACCAAAGCGCCACCACGTGGCAACGCTCCCTGCCAGCACGCCGGCCAAGCCCGCACTTCCGCGCATCAAGCCAGTGACTCTGACCGCCCAAGCCCAGAGTGGTGCTTTGTCTACCAAGCCAGCGACCAAGCCTGATGCTAAACGTGGACAGAAGACATCCCCCCGACCACAAACGACATTGGCTACAATCGCACCCGCGAAGGCGAGACTGTCCAAGAAGGCACGGACAGTGTCGCCCAAGGTGGTGCGCGTACCACCGAGTGCACCACGCAAAGCGATGCCGCCGTCCAAGGCCGCCATGCCGCGCTCGGTCGGGCGTGTCGTGCCGCCGCCGCTTCTGGCCTTCCCCAAGCACGTTGGTTTACTGCCGCCAACACCGGTGGGGATACTTCCCCGTTTGCTATCGCCTACGATGTCTCTCACGCCCCACAAGAAGACACCACGCACAACATTTCGCCCTGAGCTGCTCCACCGCGCGTACACGGCCCTCCCAACCCTTCTGTCGTGGAGCCAGGACGACCCCGACATGATTCAAATGCCCCCGTCGCTGGCCGCATCCTCGCCACCCAATACGCCGTCGTCGCGGTCGTCGGACCTCCTTCTCCAAACCCTCTTGTTGCAAGATATATAGTCGGTGTTTCAACTGCCTCACCGACTTAAAGCTCTTCTTCGGTGATTTCGGCCCGCGGCTTTTTCTTGAGCTTCTTCTTGAGCTTCTTGGGCTTCGGCGCGGCCTCGGGCGGCGCCTCGATCGACTCGACGTACTTTTGGAATGTCTCAATGTCCTTGTCCTTGGGGTTGATCTCGATAAACTCCTTGCACATTCGGAGCGCCTCGTCTTGGATGTCCGAGAGGAGCCTAGTTGCATGATGGATGTCCCTCTTCCTGCAGCCCAAGGACGGTATCGTACTGCTTGGAGATGGGCAGGTCGCGGTCTGGCTGGCGGTCCGCGATCGCGAGCGCGCCGTGGTACCGCATGTAGCTCAGCGCGAGGTTCTTGACGATGCTTTTTTCGGGTACGAAATGCAGTAAATCTACAAAATGCAAAAAATAAACAATAAAGCAGGCGCTGGGGACGGATCCAAGTACGGGCATGGCGATGTGGTAGATGCCGTCGAGCGCATGGACAATGTCGCGCATGCCAAAGAGGTAGTCGTCGATCTCGTCAAAGGTCGTGTCTTTCCCGAGCTTGGCGGACGTTTCGACCCAGTGCTGGAGGTGGTGGAGCGCACGCTGGTAGAGTCCGTCGTAGTAGATCTTGCGTGCGACAAACTCCCACGACCCGGACGGGTATTGCGCCGCGTTGGCCAAGGGAAACGTCGTATTGTACATCTTCCACACTTGCTTGACGTCCTTGTTCCATTTCGAGATCGATGGCATCCTAATCGTTGTGTTCGTGGACGGGGGATAGTATCAAAATATCAACTTTTTCTGCTCGTGGATCTTCCACAGCATCCCGTGCGGCGTGACATAAAACCCGTTGTAGTAGCCGTCTTTGCCGAGCGCCGATTCGTTCTATCAAAATCTATATATGTATCAACTTGATACATGACTACACGTCGTACCACTGCATGGAGGTCGAGGTACATGGAGGTTGGGAACGTGTACATGTTCTGCATCACAAAGCGGCGCATGAGCTGCTCAAAGCCCTTGCTGCCGCGCTCGGTGGACACGCCTTGCAGCAGCTGCGGGAACGTTACGCCGGGGTACAGCGCGTGCTACCTCGATACATTGATACACAGACAATACACGGCCGCGTACCTGGCGCTGGAACCAATGGTACGGCATGAGCTGAAAGTTGAGGTGCATGACGTCCGGCCGCTTCTGCTCGCACTCCTATACCATCGGTCGCGCCCTCGCGCAATCAAGACGAGCGTACTTGAAGGTACCGGACGCTGTTCCAGTTGATGTCCGTGTACGAAAGCAGGATCGCGTTGGGCGGCAGCGTGTCAAGGAGCGCGTTGCCGTATGCGGCAATGACATTCCCTTTCTACCACACAAGAGATCGACGATGCATTCCGCGAGCTCTTGCGATCGCACCTTGGCGTGGTTGGCCGTCGGGTACTGGGCGCTGAGCTGCATGTAGATCAGTCCGAGCGCCGAGACAACCGCGCCGGCCCTGGCGAGGAAAGCAAACACTTTGGCGTTGAGACTTGCGTGCATGCGCGCGAGCCCGAGCCCGAGGAAGATGGCGATCACCAGATTCGGTTGCATCCAAAACCGGCTGTGGATCGCGCGCGGTAGCGGCTACGATCGCCAATCAGCCTGCATCCATCGAGTTGGTCGACGTACGAGGTACAGCGGCAGGTTCGAGAGCGCGTGGAAGCACACGACGTAGTGCAAGAGGCACAGTAAGAGCAAGTCGTCGAGAGCCTTTTGCTCGGGCGCGCTCCCGAGCGCCGCCTCGATCGGTGCAGCGTCATTCTCGCGCCGTTCCATGTCGGCCGGATCACTAGTACGTATATGTCTTGTCATGAACAAATGTGTTGTGCACATCAAGAGATGCGTACAAGCGCCAGAGCCCGTAGAGAGCAAGGATGAAGCCAATGCCAATAAACTGCTCGCGGGCGTCGTGGAGGTACACCAGCATGCGCTCGATCGGCGTCTAGAGCGCATGTTTCAGCGCTCCTGCCATAGAGACGAGGAACAGACCTCGGTGAGGTTGGTCTTGACGGGCGAGAGCTTGAACGTGCCGTACTCTTCGCGCACGAGGTGGCGGAGGAGCCCCATCCACGACGACGCATTGCCCCACGAGCCTTTGCGCGGCGTCGACGCTACCTCCATCATGTGCAGATACGGCGTCAAGCCCGCAAGGAACCTACGGGACGGTTCAAGCCACCGCACCGTCGAACGCAGAACGTACAAGGCTGCGAAGAGAACAATGTGGTAGAAGCGAAAGACGCATCGGCCGTGCCAGAGCACCCAGAGCACCATGGGGATCTCAAACAAAACTAGAAGAAAGGTAGAAACCAGATAAGGTCGCGAGACGTACTCGCCGTGTGCTGGTTGGACATGGCGAGACCACACACGAGCGCGCCGAGCGCGGCCACCCACGGGCTCTGCGTCCGGCGGAAGATCGCGCAGAGGACAAAGAGCAAGCCGCACAGGAGGTTGTTAAGGGCAAAGACCTAGCTCGTGGACTGACGCATGGAGGACAAGGTGGTGAACGTACCTCGGCCCCGACGGCGTACTCCCACGTCAACGGTGCAAATGCGTACATGAGGCCGGCGGCGATGGCCGCGAGCCCGTGCGTCTTGTTGCTGTAGAGATAGACGAAGTGGGCGATGCAGCCCGCCGCCAGCGCTGCGTACGTTGCGTTCAGGACATTGGCCGTGTACGCAGGTGGCAGCTCCAGCCATTTCTGGTCGAGCACGGCGCGGAGGAGGAGGAGGTACAGCGGGTACCCTGGCGGGTGCGCGACGCCACCGCCGGCGATGCAGGCTTCGGCCACGAGCTCGCCGCTGTCGCCGCCCGCGACGCTCGGAAAGGCCGTTGCGACGTAGATCGGGAGTGCGACTGCGACGGTCGCCGCGGCGGGCCACAGATCCCGCACCCCGACGTTCGAGCCCAACTTGGCCATTTTGCAACTGCGATCCTCTGCACCCGAATCGGTTCAACCGTCGAAATACGGTAATCAAAATATCGAAGCCAGCGCAACCTTCGATATTTCGAAGCGATGGACCGACACGGACGACTCTCAGCAACCAGCGCCGTCGACCTTGCTAGCACGCGCGCGCCACTGCATCGTTGCCATCTCTTCGTCTTCCACACCAAGCGCAGGCTCGACGCTAGCGTCGCGGAGCGATTTAAGGGTGCGTTCGCCTAGGCGGAGTGCGAAGGGCACACAATGGCGAGGAGGAAGTTGGTAGGCCAAGAGCTTAGTGGTATCAGCTGTGAGCTGAGCGGTGGAGGCCAAGTGCCCACGAGGTCCAAAGCTCTTGAACGCGTAAATGGTTGGTGCTTGGGGCAATGGGGCGCTCCGGAGGTCGGAGGTCCGAGGAGTGGACGGAGTTGCAGCGCTATGACATGCGGTGGTGCCATCACGTTGCCGTCGTCGTAAGGATGCTGCAAGCCGATGCGGCCATCGGCGAGCAGCTCGTCGTAGCATTGGCTCGAGGCGGTGGAAGATACGCATCCGGATACTGCTTCTGGAAATTTCGGACATTTTGATTGGAACTGCATTCGATAAAAATCCAACCACAGAAATCCGACAAAAAGCTCATGGTACCGGCGGCCATCGCGATCTTCTGGCTCATGCGCAGCGTAGAGCGTGAAGACGACAACCGAGGTCCGTGACATCACGCGCATCGAGCGCATCGGCGCCCACTCGCACATCCGCGGCCTCGGCCTCGACGATGCGCTCGAGCCGCGCAACGTCAGCCAGGGCATGGTCGGGCAGACCGAGGCGCGCAAGGCCGCGGGCATCGTCCTGCGCATGATCGAAGAAGGCAAGATTGCCGGCCGCGCGATCCTGCTCGCGGGCAAGCCGGGCACGGGCAAGACGGCGATTGCGATGGGCATTGCGCAGGCGCTGGGCGAAGATACGCCGTTCACGACGATTGCCGGTAGCGAGGTCTTCTCGCTCGAGATGAGCAAGACCGAGGCGCTCACGCAGGCGTTCCGCCGCTCGATCGGCATCCGCATCATGGAAGAAACCGAGATCATCGAAGGCGAAGTCGTTGAAATCCAAGTCGACACGCCGACGGGGTCGGTCGGCGACAAGGTCGGCCGCCTCACGCTCCGCACCACCGAGATGGAGACTGTCTATGACCTTGGCACCAAGATGATCGACCAGCTCACAAAGGAAAGATCGAGGCCGGCGACGTCATTACGATCAACAAGGAGAGCGGCAAGATCTCCAAGCTCGGCCGGTCGTTCACGCGCTCCAAGGACTATGATGCCATGGGTCCCCAGACGCGCTTCGTCCAGTGCCCCGTACGCGTCTCCTCTGTCATCTTGCATGCGATCTCATGAATACCGTGGAATAGGAGGGTGAGCTGCAGAAGCGCAAGGAAGTGGTCCATGTCGTGAGCCTTCACGAGATTGACGTCATCAACTCGCGTTCGCAGGGCTTCCTCGCCCTCTTTGCCGGCGACACGGGCGAGATCAAGGACGAGGTCCGCGAGCAGATTGACACCAAGGTCAACGAGTGGCGCGAGGAAGGCAAGGCGACCATTGTGCCGGGTGTCCTCTTCATTGACGAAGTGCACATGCTCGACATCGAGTGCTTCTCGTGGCTCAACCGCGCGCTCGAGTCGGACCTGGCGCCCGTGCTCATCATCGCGACGAACCGCGGGATCACGCGCATCCGCGGCACCAACTACAAGAGCCCGCACGGCATTCCGATCGACCTCCTCGACCGGCTCATGATCATCTCGACCAAGCCGTACAGCGAGGCGGACGTGGGCAAGATCCTCAACATTCGCTGCGAAGAGGAAGACGTCGAGATGACGGACGACGCCAAAGACCTCCTCACGCGCATCGCGATGGAGACGAGTCTCCGGTATGCGATCCACATCATCATGACGGCGTCGCTTGTCTGCACGAAGCGCAAGGGCACCGAGGTCGACGTCGCCGACATCAAGAAGGTCTACTCGCTCTTTGTGGACGTGAAGCGCTCGACGCAGTTCCTCATGGAGTACCAGCATGAATTCATGTTCAACGAGATCAACGACGACGACGACGACGAGGACCAAGACATGGCGTAAAGCAACCCCACCTTATTCTGTAGCCTTGTGTCTTTGTTGGCTACACCGATACGGGACGCCACCGTTGACGACGTCCATTCTAGTCCACTTGGCTCTCTTCTACCGGAGTCGAGCAGGCTCGGTAGACTCGCCGCATGGTCTTGCCGAGCAAAACCCTACCCCCGCTCAGATCTGATGTTTTGAAAATGCATAAAAACGATGTCGGGGATCGGTTTTATAGGTGAAATTGCGTGCAAGTGTTTAGCGTGGGTTGAACGCGTTTATGGAGAGGTAAAAGAAGCAGACTGACGTGGCGTGGGCGAGTTTTGAAAATCTTGGCGACGATGGAAGCCGCGCGACAGACTATTGCGGCGATCGAGGCCGATGCCAAGGACGGCCATGGCGGCCTCGCGCTCTTCATCATTGACCCGCAAGTTGACTTCCACCCGGGCGGCTCGCTGGCGATCCCGACGGCCAACGACGACGCCGAGCGCACGGCGGCCTTTATCCGCAAGCATATGACTGCGATCACGCAGCTCGTCATTACGCTCGACTCGCACCAGCGCCTCCACATCGCCCATGGCGTCTTCTGGAAGAACGTCGACGGAGCGTCGCCGGCGCCGTTTACGCTCATCACGTCCGAGGACGTGGCGAACGGCAAGTGGTCGCCGCGGGCGCCCGAGCTGCAGGCGTACGCGTACGAGTACACCAAGGCGCTCGAGGCCGGTGGCCGCTTCACGCTCTGCATTTGGCCCGAGCACTGCATCATTGGCACGAAGGGCCAGGCGATCGTCGATGCCGTGCATACCGCGGCGCTCGAATGGTCCCGCGTGAGCCGTCGCCCGATCACGTACGTGCACAAGGGCAGCAACTGCTACACCGAGCACTACTCGGCGCTTCGTGCGGACGTCGAGCTGCCGCACGACCCCGAGACGTCGCTCAACGTCGGCCTCATCGACGCGCTCAAGACCGCTGGCGTCGTCGCCGTGTGTGGCCAAGCGCTCTCGCACTGCGTCAACTTTACGGTCCGCGACCTTGTCGAGCACTGGCCGGCGGGCCGTGCCAGCGACATTGCAATCTTGACCGACTGCACGTCGCCCGTCCCGGGCTTTGAGGCGAGCGGTGTCGACTTTGTCGCCGACATGGGCAAGCGCGGTGTGCGCTTCCTCAACTCGACCAGCGATGCGCTCCTCTTGCGCTCGCCGCGCAAGAAGGTCTAATACCGTCGACGACGACTCTGCATATAAAGAATACGCTCAATGATAGTACTCGCCGTTATGTGCATTTCCTACGAGCACGGCAGGAGGCGCGGCGCATGCAGCTGGCGCGCCACAGTGGTCCAGTCGTAGAGATAAAGCGTCACGAGACGCAGAAGCACCGTGTTCGGGTCCGGGTGGCCGCGCACGGTCTCGAGCGTGCCGACCGCCTCTTTCTTGATCACGTAGTAAAACAGCTCCCGGTGGATTCCGCGGTCTGGCTGCTTGTAGAGCTTGACACTGCGCTTGGCGGCGTTGAGGGCAGCCGCCAGCGTCGCCCTCGGCGCCGACGGGTGCCGCCGCTGGAGGTGAAGAATCTCCGCCTCCGACGCTCGGTGCAAGA